TCCCCCAGTCATCTCCCATGGGTCTTACTGCAGGAAGGGTCAGCTAGGCTTACAGTAGACGTTGCTGTCGTCAAAAGTAGGACCTTGTCCTTAGTAGGACCCTGCGTACACGTTAAGTTGTGCGCACGCTTCAGTGCCTTGCAAAATGGCCAGGAAAGTCTTTCATCCGATGGCCAGGTTCAAGATGTCGTGTCAGTTGTTGCTTCTTGGGGTTTTTGCTCATTTTGCAGACCCACAAATGCACAAACACTCCAGTATCCCTGTTTTGCAGGCCCTGATCCCAACATTGGTGTTACCCTCTTCTTTCAAATGCTTTGAACATGGTGGCCCACTCTGGTTTAGTGTGCCCCCAGACAGGTTTAAGTTGTGCAACCCGCACTCACTCACTGAATGGCCAGAGGTCTCGCTGACCTTGGCAGTCGTACAGCTGTCATATTTTCACATGGATGAACTGTTCTCGAACAGTTTCTCCAATGTATTGGGAACAAACATGCCTTTCTTCAGCATCAGGAATGCAGGTCTTCCCTTTCCAACTATTCCTTTCCCTTCAACAGATATAGTTATTGTGGCAGTGGCAAAAAAAATCCTACTGCTAACTCTTCGTATTCAAGTTCCCTTAAATCTCCCTCAGGATAGTGATGGAGAAGAGAGTCTGGCTTCCCATTCAGATCTCACTTGATTTTATTAAAAATTATTATTATCATCTTACTAGTTTAATTCATTCCCTCTTCATGTCGGCAGTCGGTGGAAGAGTCGGTGTCAAACCCTTTTCTGCATTGTTGTCGTTATTGTTGTATCACTGTAATGATGAGCCAGGCCCAGTGGGGAACGGGGTGCCGTTGGGCTAGGTACTGCAGATGAGGGATGGTCTGTGCCTCAAAGAGTTTATAGTCTATGAAGACGAGACATGGAAAGGGGAAGGGTCAGGTTAGACCTGCCAAAAGGGAGATTGGACTGTATAGATGGCCTCAGCGAGATGAGGAGAGACAACAGGGCTGAACTTGGACCAGGCGGTCTGTAGGCTAGTGCAGTTGCCTCCCAAAGAAAGGTGGCCAGGGAGGGCTGGCACTAAGCTTGAGAAGACCATGCCTCTCAGATCAGATGGATTTTGCACCTCACTTGGAGCTGTGCGTTAAATGTGGATACTGCCAACCAGCACCCCGGCTACCCAGTCCCAACCAAGCTCTGGTTGGCCAACATGGGCTGCAATGCGTACCGTTTCAACACTCCCGCGGTGCGATGTGGGCGAGTGTTTTAGCTGCTGGACTGATGGCTGTTCAAGCTTCACACTTTTGAAATCTCAGAAATGTTTCCAGGTGAGAACATCTCTGTCCCAGCCCACTCCAGTTGGTACTTGCAAGTATTAATGGGAGCCACCCAAGCGCCGTCTAGATTCGAAAGGGGTGCATCTTTGAGTGGTGGTACACAGACCACTAGAAAAAATTGATACCATAGTACTGAGCGCTGCATACTTCAATGAGGCTATTAAATGGTATTTTCTTCATTAGAGTTAATGATTGTTTGGATCTGTAGTGTTTGAGAGAGAGAAACCAGGAAGATGTAATAGCCACAAGGATGGTTTAGTATGGCTTCTCTTATCTGGCAACTTCGACCCACAGTAGATGACTGGGGCTGGAAACCCACAGTTCATCAGCACGGAAGATGTAATAGCCACAAGGATGGTTTAGTATGGCTTCTCTTATCTGGCAACTTCGACCCACAGTAGACGACTTTGACCCACATCAGCACCCCTTTGAGTTGCCACCTGTGCTGCATCCCAGAAGCAAATTGCAGACCTCCGTGGGTAGTCGTGCTAGTGTTTGTGCCTGTCATTCGGGAAAGAACAGGGAGATGAGAAAGTATCGCTCGATTATAAGTAGGGATGTTAATGATGCCCACAAAGGGCCCGATTCTGGACTGGTCCAAGTGATCCAAATGGGATGATTTGCAGATGCGGAGTCGGAGTTGGGACGGCCGGGTTGGGCTCAGGGTGGAGAATGCAGCAGAGCGAACTGCTTGAGCAAAGGAAGCACGCAAGGGTGAAGACCAGTCTGAGACCTCTGAGTGACTCCATCTGAGCTAAATCTAGGATTTTCCTCCTGTTGTCCAGCCAAGATGATTCTCCGTTCAAAGCCAAATAGCCATCGCTTCATCCTGCCCCCATTTTCTCCCCCATTTTGCCGACCCATACCCCAGACATGAGCGGGAGCAGGATGCTTCCTCCGTAGCCCAGCAGCCAAACCCTTGGGACGGTGCAAAGCGTTTCTTGTCCTACGCAGCCCTGCTTGCACTTTGTGTTTCAACAGCAACGTTGAGCCCATCTGTTGGTTCCTCTCTCAGTGAAATAACAGTGCAGGATTGGAGAGAGAGTATTTTATTAGATGATTTTTTCAGCTGAACCAAGGGGAGGTGTAAGATGTAAGCCATCAGTCTTTGCAAGTTCCTCCCCAAAGAGCTGTCATAAAAACACCCCAAATCCTGTCCACTTTCCTGAAGTCTCTATAACTCACTAGGCATTGCTCTGCATGCTCTGCTTTGTTGGGCCTAGCTAGGTGAGCCTCACGCATCCTTTATCTCATTGGGATGAAACACCCATTGGATGCCAGGGGTTTCCCTCCTCTAAATAGGGCTCGATTTTGAAACCGGATTGATGGTTTTTTGGTCTACTCTTCTGTTGCGCGTAGGTTTACTGCGCTGTCATCTTATAAGACAAAAGAACAATGTCGCTTGCCAAGCGAAGGAAAAACCCCCATGGTTTTTCAGGGCTTCGCAAAGAGCTCTCAGAGGTATTTTGAGGGCCTTTAAGCTGATGAGCTGACACCCATGAGCCTGTGTTTACACACGCCGGGTAAAGTTAGCGTGATAAATGCTTCCTGCACTTGCCTGTTTGACTCCGTCGATCAGTGCGGGTATTTTTAACTATTACATCTCCCATCCTCCCTCCCGCTGTAATATGCCAAAGTGGTCAGCTGCTTGGCTCCTACATGCGGGAAAACTCTGAAGAATTTTCTCGCGAACCCCTGGGGCAGAGCAGACTTTTCCCCAAAGAATAAGCAGTTCTGAGAGACTTTGCCACATAAGGGCCTGTTCGAGGCTCCAGGCACCAGTTGACAGGGACGTCTTTGCCTCCCAACAGATGGCCGGGCTTTTTATTTCAGCTCGCAGTCTCTGGCGGAGGGGTGGTCTCGGGATGCTGCCAGCATTCCACATGACAGGGCCAACTTAGGGCAAGAGGGATCCGATGTCCATGCCCTTCATAGCTCACCAACTAAATGATGAGCTGTTGACAGAAAAGCCATCATCTGAAGTGTAAGATCCTGAACTCTCCCCACATTTCGCTTTTCTTTGGCGGAATTAATGCCCTATTTGCTTGTCTCTCAAAATCCATTCTGGCACGAGTACAAACCGTCGCCTGGTGGCAAGCAGTTGTCTGGCTTCAAGATGCCAAGATTTGTGCTGACAGCTCCTTCTACACAATCGGAGTCAGGCTGTCACAGCTGGCCATTAGAGGCTTAAAAAGACACACACACGTACAACAAATCGCACCAACTCTCAGCTATTGAATATCCGAACCTCCTTGGTGAGAAAATGCAAGGGCTTAGCCCCCTCTTGAACGGAGCACACACACACGCCGCCTTTCCGCTCCCCCATCCAAGCGTTTTGCGGCGGCTGCTTATTTCGTATCGATCCCTCTCTCTTATTTCTTAAATTAAACTAAATCTCGGCGGTTTGAATGTGTCATCCACGCTATGGCCCGATGGGATTTTCCTAGCACGCAGGGCCCACCAAATGGGTCTCTGAAGGACACGGTTCTGCGCCGAAACGGGGAAGGCCAGCCAAAAAAAAAAATCACGGCTTGTAGAAATACGTTTGCCATGATTTCCGCGCGTGCAAATGGGGCCGCTCCTAGTGACGATGGCAAGCGCTCAGCGGGGACGAGGATGGATCCTTGCAAAAATTAACTTTCTGATTTCAAGTAAAACAATAAAAAATAATCACCCCCCGATGCCTCATTCTAAATGGAGACAGGCGATATTAGCTTCTGCTTGCTTAATCGACAGCTATTGCAAATATAATGATGCTCTGTCTGGTTGCGCTGGGCTTTCAAACTTGCTGCAGGATTTAATTGTGCACAGGCGAGCTGTGGTAGAGCCCGGTGTGCAGTTTATTTTGGACAAAGGGTTGATAAACCTTGGCTCTCGAGAAGGAAGCCTGGAATCCGAGGCTCGCCGTTATTCGTTGACTTCTCTTTATGAGTTTACAGTCCGCTGATGCATAACACTGAAGGAAATATTTTCAGTAAAATGTTTGCTTTCTTTTGGCTTGTAAAATGCAGTGTCTCTTTTTAAAGACGTATGTCAGGGTCATAGAGCTACTTCAGCAAACTGTGCATGGTCAGGACAAACCCCCCGTGTCAGCCGGTTCATTTTGGTCGTGAAATCAGCCTTTTAATCAAGACTTCTTCCAATCCTTCAGTGCTTTGTTCATTGACTTGTTTAGATTCACTAACCACCATTTGAACTTCAGTTTTATTGACAGGCTTTGTTTAATTGTTGCACAGAGATTTAAATTGCACAGAACATTTTCATATTTTGGTGTAAAATCGATGTTTGCACACTACGGCAAACTTGTAAAATGAAACCATTTATACATCAGGGGAGTTTCTTGGCCAGCATATTTTCTGCCTTCCTTTTTGCTGTACTGAAACTATGAATTTTTTTTAACTTCCTTGCTGTGCTGGAAGGCGTTTTCCTTCCCCAACATGGGCCCTTTGGCTAGTAACTTCGGGGCAATGCTGGAAGCCTTCATGGCTCTGGCAAAGCTCTTAAAAATGGGTGAGACTTTTAGGACGTGCTTAAACGCTTTGCTGGATGGGGGCCTCTCTGCACAGTCCTCACCCACACGATCCGGCACTGGAGCAAGCGTGAGAGAGAGTGAAAATGTGACGCGGTTGTTGTCCATGCTGCCCGCAGCTAACCCCGGCTTCTCTTTCTTCACAGGTTCTTCTTGAAATTTTTCCTCAAATGTAACCAGAATTGCCTAAAAAATGCAGGAAACCCTCGGGACATGCGGAGATTTCAGGTCAGTGAGTCACACATCCTTTAAAACTAACTGATGGTGGGGAGAAACAATCCAACCCGGTTTAACCTGGTGGTGAACTGGAGGATGCTCAAATGTCCGGTGCTTCTCTTAGTTTGAGAGACCCCCCGGCGATCTCAGAAATGAGTGGGAAGCGCCTGGACGCTCATGGTTTGGAGCAGTGCAGACTTGTCGATGATGCCGTCCCCATGAGAAGTCAGAAACCAAAGAGATGTTGCGCTGTTGTGTTGGATGACCACGGTCACACTTAAAACATCAACAGGCTCCACGGCTGTTGTCCAACGAGCACGAAAAGTGTCTGCTTCTTTTAATGTGAATTTTCTAAAGGCCTAATCCTGCGGTCCTCTCTTGCTGCAACCCCCATGAGCTGGGTCTTTGGTATTTTGGCAGGGGGGAAGGGTGGGGAAATATATCCCCACCATTGCAGTTGCCCCTGTCGACAGCAGTAGCTAAGAGCGGTGGTGTCTTGTCTACCACCAGCATTTTGAACACCAGGTCCACCTGGGCTCCGAATCCATCGAAGCCGCTGCCATGTGCGCTGGTAGTCATTGGACATATTTACCTGATGTTAATACAGTCATTTGCCAGCTCGAATTGGGTTTTGCTCATGTCCGTACAGTCATTTGCCAGCTCATGTTGGGTTTTGCCTGAGGACCAAGTACAGTCTGGGGGTGGAAGAAGACTTTCCCATGGGAGGAGGAGCGGGGCAGGGGACAATGCTGTGCAAGGGAGGGCAGATCCATGGGACCTGTTCCCAGGGATTGGGATCGCCCTTCACCTGGAAGCACCAGTGGGCTTGTCCCATAAACTCCACCGGCTCCGAAGAGCCGAGAGGACTGGAACGGGTCCCCGGCTTTCTTCCTTCCTTACCCCCTCCCGCCCCGGCGCTTAGCTATAAGTGCTAAACATCATGGAAGCAATGACAACACTTAACACCTATATCTTTTACTGTACAAACATTAACTGGTTAATCCCTCCGGTGCCCTGGCAAGCTGGGGGAGTGTTATTTATCCCTTTGCAGAGAAGCAATGGGGACTTAGCCAAACCCGTGCAGCTGGTCAGTGTAAGAGCTGGGATTACAACTCCAGGAGTCCCTGACCCCGGCCCGGGGGCTCCTTTCTCCGGGCTGCGCTGCCTCGGAGATTTATTCCCACTTATTAAAAATGTATTCTCGTGTGAGAGGCGGCGTTTGCTCTCAGGGTGCTCTCGCCGGTGGGGCGATCTAGCATGAACGGCCGCGTCGGGGGCCTGTCAAAGCACGGTTCACGGTACGCACGCGCCACTGATTTCGTGCTGGCCAAGACACGGGCTGATTTTCATATGGTAATGCCTTTGCATGTTCCCTCAGAAGAGCAATCAGGAGCCGGTGTAGGTGACTAGGTAGGACATAAGAAAGGTTGTTGATCTCTTGACTTGTAAAGACGTTCTGTCATGCAAGCCCAGCCTCACAGCAGTTGAGCTTTCAGTGTGTAAACAGAGACTGCTTAATTACACAGGTCATGTCAATTAGTGTGACCTTAGCATTTTCAAGAAATTAATCACTTTCAGCAGAGCAAAGCGCCGCTCATACTTCTGTACAGTGTGGGAGAAAGCTTGGAGAAATCTATTAAGTGCCAGCGCACGAATTTTACAGCGGCGGGGCTTTGCCTGGGATTTTTTTGCTCTTTCATTCTAGCAAGAAACTTCTTAAAATAAAGCCAGCCGTCATCATTGAACGCAGAAAATTCAGGCTTCTCCCGCCATGGCGAGGGCAGGAAAATACCGGGCACAGCTGTGCACTGGGCACGCACACTGGGGGAAGCCATGACCCCCTTGAAGTCTGCAAAGACGGTGGCGATTTGATGCCGAAGGCCTGGATTTAAAGGACAAGGCTGAGACCATTTAAAATCCTGTCCAAAGCCAGGGAGTGCCTAAAGCAGCTGGGTTTGATGGGTGCATAAAGCCCTTCTCTGGGCAGGAGTGGCAAAGCACCCGGCACGTCGGAGCCACGGCGCGGGTGAGGCCTCCAAGCGCCCATGCCCCACGAGTGATGCTAAGCCTGAGACGACGTCACGGGGGAACGGTGCACGCTGGCTGTCTCGCACCCTAAAGCACACAAGCAAATTATGCAAATACTTGTGTATATCATTGTAATTAAAGAAACCACGACTGCATTGTTGTTGTCCTGGTTTGAATGCAAGCGGCCACGCACCGGGTTTCAATTGAGAGGAAACTTTTGAGGCTGAGTCACCACGAAACCCCCTCGAAGGAGGCATTTATTATGAAAACGCTGAAAGTCACTTTGACATTGTCTCCTCTTCCTCAGCTGAAGCAGCTGACTTGCCTCCACGCGATACTGCCACTCATGTTTGAATTGTCGCCACTTGTGCCTTGCCGCAAATTTGCATAAGAGGCAGAAACGATGCTTCACAAATCCCAGATAATGGAGTTTGGATGTGTAAGGTCCCCTCCCCAGAGAGGGAAGAGGAAGGGAATAAAAGTAGGGAACGAGCAGAGCGAGCCAGGGCCCCAACTCTACAAAGCAATTAGGCACATAGCCTAACTTTAAGCATGTGGGCAATTTTGTTGAGTATGCAGTGCTTGTTAGCTGAAAGTTTGGCATATTTTTTAAGTATCTCGCTGGATCAGGGACTATTTGAGTGACCAAATTAAGGAAGAAAACAAACTGTACGAAGCAGCCTCCAAGCTGGAATGAAAACAAGGCGATTTCTCATCTCTCTTTAATGCGCCCCAGTTACCAGGGGGGAAAGCTCCAAGGACCAGAACCGGTGGCTCAAAGCAGATGGCAGCAAGGGACACGTCAGGCCTGGAAATTGTCTCCGTTGGATTTTGGGAAGCTTTGCCGTGAGGTGCCGGGGGTAGAAGCAGAAATGCCAGGGCACTCCCAGCAAAGTGGAGAAAATTGAAAACACAAGGAACACGTTATGTCTTAATCAGTTAGCAAAGCTTAATGGACTGTGCTTGAAAATGGGGACTCACATGACGCTTAATTTTGATGTATTAGGTGATGTGCTACGACAAATAAACAGGCCCAGTATGAAACTGGGACGAACAGTTTGTTCTCCAACCTCCAGAAGTTGGGGCTGGTTTTTTTAATAGCCTTCAAAAAATAGCCCTCATAACCGAACTATTTAAGAGCCGGCAGAATAATTTTCAGAGCAATTGATAGCTGGTGCCGGTCGGTGGAGCAGAGCTTAAAACCATGCGTTTCTTTCTTCGTGCCTCCGTCTCCTCCGCTGTTGATACAGGGTTTAGAGTCGAGATCTATGACGGGTTGAAGCTCAAGCTCAAAATCATTTTCCGTGTTTGTCTGCCCCAAATTAAAACTGTGTTTTGTTGACAAAATTTGGAAAGGTTTGAGATCTGGCAGGCCTGGCTGTCCCCGTGCTTACATTAATATGTCAGCACCTCATTAATCATTTATTAAACTGTAGTTTGCCTTTTCCCTCATGCTATGGTCTGAGTTTTAAGGATGCCTCAGAGCTTTTTCCCCTTCTGGTCTGATTCCCTACCCCCTCCCCAAGTTTTATGATTTCTCCACAAATTAGTTTTAGCACATGCTTTAACTTAAACACATCCCAATAATTTCAAAATCAAAATGAGAAGTGCTGGGGTGTTTTTTGTTTTTTTTTTCAGATTAAAAATATAAGTCTACCTTATAAGCATGTAAGTGCCCTTCAAAATTTAAGCATGCAATTGCAATGCATAAGAAATATGTACAGTGTATTTCTTCTTCTCTCCGCATAGTCAGGACATTACTATTTAGGACAGGCTTTGTGCATGAAATGCTCTTTTCTTTCAAAAAATCCCAGCAAAACAGAGGGAGCGTGTGTTAATGAAATTGTATATTTTAAGACTTAAGCGGAGAGCGTGCGCTGCCGCTTACAGGTGCACTATGAATAATCATTTTTTTCAGACAGACAGACAGAGTAACCACTTTTGTCTGCATTTCCTGACACTGGAAACAGACTCTCGTGGGGATTCCTTTTATAGTTTCTTCTGCTAACGACTCCAAAGAACCAGCCCGATGTGGTCTCTTTGTAGTAAATCAAACTCTCTGCTCAAGAGGTAGGTAGGAAGATACAGTTAAGTCATTTAAAATGTGTCACATCCACAGGTTGTGAAACCTGATGGGGCGGGGGGGAAAAATGAAGCGGCTGATCCTGTGCAGCTCGACTTACGTAAGTAGTGGAGATCATCGGTGCTACTTCCCGGCATAGACGATATGCTACTCCTCTGTGCAAGGCTTTGTAGGGTCAGACCCTACATTATTATAGTTAATGTACGAGAACTTGTAAGTCCAGCTCCTGGAAACACTCGGTGCTTAACTTCATGCATGCACTTGCTCTCGCGGAGGTCAGCGGGACTGCATGCATGCAGGATCGGGGCCTGCACGTGGGAATACGTCTCAAGTAGCTCATCGTCTAGGAAGGCCAAGTGCTGTGGCTGTTATGTTCAGTTCGCAGTTTCATTTCTGCACCTACCTAAACTTGCCTGGCCCAGGAGGGTCCGACTCCAGCAGACAAGGGCCCGATGTGAAAGTGGGGGGAGCTGAGAGGGGTGAGTTCCCGATGTGAAAGTGGGGGGAGCTGAGAGGGGGGAGAAGGACCTGAAGTCCCAGTTACAAAGGATTCACAGCGGTTAGAGGCAGACGTATGAAAGCACAAACTATAAGTAAGATCCTATTTGATTGAAAATATCAGCTTTATTTTGCCCCTTGTTAATGGAACGGGCAAGCTGTTTTGAAACCCCTGCAATCGTAGAAAAGGAGGTTGGAGGAGACCTCAGGAGGTCGCATCTAGTCCAAACCCTGCTCTTGCAATTCAGCACAGACAGATAGATATGTTTTTCTCTCTCCATCTGAATTCAGAAGGACTTGCCTAATGCCTATAGTCTTTAGTGCTTGCTTCTTTCCAATTTACCACCCATAAGAGCTCCCAGCTCATTTGCTCTGTATTTTCATATCTTGGTCTTGAGGAAAACAACTGCAGTAACACCATTCCCGGGCCATTTCAGAAAGCTTGAGATGCAAACTCTTCTTTTGTAGTCCTTTAAAGACAAAGTGTGCCTAGCATTTGGCAAGGGCCGGTCAGCAGCCTTATTGCCCTTTGTGTATTTAGGTGGACAGCAATAGGTTGAATTGCAAAGTATTTAGTTTAGGGATGTGTGTGTGTGTGTGTGTGTGTGTGTGTGTTTTGTTTGATCTGGTTCAAGTGATAAAATTGAATTGTTGTAAGCGATCCTTTGAGTGTCCCCATTCGACCAACTTGGAGAGGTAGCGGCTTCCTGGGAGACTTGAAGCAATGTTTGCCAATCCTTGTAAAGCATTTCACCTCTTCAGAGGCTAAAGCCTCTCAAAACCAAGAACAATTAAAGCAAGAGCCTTTCAGAGTGACTGGGGAATTCAGCAAAATAAATCAGAAATCCTCTGCCTTGACTCTGGAGGCTTGCCTCATTATAAGAGCAGATCTATTAGCCCCCTTGCCATTGTCTTTCATTTCTCAAGTGAGGTGATTCTAATTAAATTAATCTGCATGTCAATCTATCGGTGATCAATCAAAAGGGCTGAGGTCCCCCTTTGCGGCAGTGTGCTTGCGGCTGACAGGGGCTGATAATGGAGGAAGAAATAAACTGTCGAGCAAAGTTAATTAGTCAACATAATAGGTGGATTAAACAGGAGCTGCTGATTGCTGTTTCACATGTCGAAGCATGAGGTGGGAGCTGAAACTGCAATTAACAGACAATTATTATATTTGGTTGTAAGAGGTCGCATGAATAAACATATCTCTGTGGGTTTCAGTTTTTAATCCCTGCGCCTGTTTAATATAAGGAGAAGTGTAGGTCATTTCTTCTTATTGTTTTAGGCGAAGTTCTGCGAGGCGGTGCAGGCTCCCGGAAAACAGGCCTAGTCGAGGCTTGAGTTGGGATGCCGCGCGGCTGGCGAAAGGCTTGCGGAGGAAAAAGTGGGGTAGTAAGGCAGGGGCAGCGTGGCCCAGTAGTTAGGAGAGCGGGAGCCGGAGACCTGGGCTTTCTTCTTGGCTCCAGCCAAATCGCAGCCCCTCCCGCTGCCTCCGTTTCGTCCCATCTGTCGGGATTGCCAACTCTGAAACGTCACTGTGTCGGCACCTCCCCAAGGATGAGGAGACCCAGATTTCAGCGGGGGCCTATCAAAGCACAGAAAATAATAAGGAGAAGTAGGTTGGTGTTTACCGATGAAGTCCCCGTCCCTGCACGCTCAGCAGACGGGAGCGCCGGGTCAGTCCCGCTGCCCGTGGGGACTCGGCGAGGGGGACACCTCCGCTCTCGTCCCCGCCGCACGAAAAGCGTTTTTCTTTTCTTTTCTTTTGAACCGATTCTCATTTGCAATGTCAACAGTGCTATCTACTTCAGCGCCGGCACTGAAGGATAATTTAGGGTGAAACACAGCCGCCCTTGTATTTGCAGGGCGGGGAAAAACCCCTTAATAAAGATCCTCTTGTTAATATGATGGTTAACAGCGTACCGTCTGCCGTACAGCTACAAACTGTGCAATTTGACTTAAAACTGCATCAAAAGCTTTCGATGCCAAAGACCCACTCATCAATAGCGTCTCTTGTTAGATTTGTACAGCATAAGCACCAGTTATTATGTGAAATGGCTATGCAATTTTCTACAGCACCCAGCTGTTATTTATTTAACTGAGTTTATTACACTCTCTGCCTTTTTCTTTCTTTCTTTTGTTGTTTTTAATATATCAAAATGTACATCCGTTTTGCTCTCGCGCTCACAGGTCGTGGTGTCTACAACAGTCAACGTTGACGGCCATGTGTTGGCAGTGTCGGACAACATGTTTGTACACAACAACTCCAAGCACGGGCGCCGGGCTAGAAGGCTTGATCCCTCGGAAGGTACGCCTTCTTATCTGGAACATGGTAGGCATATCATTTTCATTGGTTGGCATTTCTGCTTTAAATGTGGATTTATTTGGTTCCTCTCTCCTCCTTTTCATGGAAATTGTCCTGCAGTAGTCAAAGCACTTCTGGGCCAGATGTTAAAAGGCTCCCAAATTAAATTGGGGTTTTCACAGTGGCTCAGCACTGGAACTGGGAGCGGGTAGGGGAAGAACAGGATCAGGGAAAGAACAGGATCGTTCTTGTGCAAAAAGGTGTCCCTTGCATCGCTGCAAAAATGCAACGTGCTTTGATCGGCACTGAAAGCGGGGCCTGGATTTTCAAAGCAGTTCAGCTTCCCCATGCAGGAGGACGTGGGTCGATTTTCAGAAGGTGCTCCCCATCCAAATTGGGGCTGGGTATTTGGTAGCGGCTGGGTGCCGAGCGCTTCAGAAAGCCTGGCCGCTCCGTTGAGGTGCCTAAATGAGAACGGAGTCCCTTTGAAAATCCAGCTGCCTCGTTAGGTGTCTAGATGTGAGCTCTTGGGTGCTGAGCTGCTTTGAAAACCGGCACCTAATTAATGTTTTATTTGTTCTTTGTCCTCAAAATTGCTGACTACTACTAAAAAACAAAACCAAAACCCAGGGGAATTCACCCCCAGCCCCTTTTCCAAGAATTATCCTTTGTCTTGGAAGCTGTTTATAATTCTACACACATCAGGCGCTTGCTCCTCCGTGGAGCTATATCCCCTCAACTTCCAGTGCAGGGACCAGAGGGTGGAAAGTCACACCCGGAGCTCGTGCCACGAACGTTTGCCACGGGGCTCCCGGGCAATTGAGCATCTTTTTTCAGAATTAGAGGAAACCAGATAAAAATTGTCTCCAGGAAAGTGAATGCCACTCTGAACGATGTTAATGATGTATGCTAATAGAAATAAGCAATAACCGTAATAACGGATGAATATGTGAATATATGTCTAAACACTTGGTAAATTCCCGGTGAAAGAGGATCACGCTCTTCAGCTTTGATCCTGCAAACACTAACACACACGCTTGAGTTAAGGCACATACACGCTGACGTTGAAGTTCGTGGGGCTACCCACAAGAGTGAAGCTGTGCACACGGACATATGTTTAGGGCTGTAGTTCACACTTATGAACCTAAAATTCAAAGCTCAGCAGCATTTCTCATTATATAAACATAACTTACATCTGTATTTATTTAGCTCTAACTTTTTATGTAGGCGATGAGCCATTTTCAGCCATAATTCATTCTATAGAATATTTTTTTTATCCCTGCCAACAACCTAATTTAATAAACCAACCACTATCATAATTTTCTCTCAGTTTTTGTAAGGAATGTGCAAACTGAGCTTTTATTAATTAGCAAAAGGCAAGGATACTTCAGCCCATTCAAGTTTGCTATCTTTGTAATATGAATTACAGTGGGCACGTCTACACGAGACTCTTACTGCGCAGTAGCGTGCTGGTCAAAACCCGTGCTCGTGCGGTACCGTGCACTGGTATTAAGCTACTGCACAGTAAGCGTCACAAAAAAACGTGCACCAGTGCTACTGTGCAATAACTATAGTTACTGCACAGTTAATTAGTACTTCATTAAGCAAGTAGTAATCTAAATGCGCAGTAACTACTCCACATTAATGAGCATGTAGACGCACCCAGTCTTCAGATCAATTTAAGACTTAGCCTCCTACCTTATATTTTCCAACAAGACCTCTTTCATGCATACCTGCGATTAAATGAATGCTTATTTTCTCATGCTTGTAAATATTCCTGTTTTCTTATGTACTGTCATGCCAACTCTTTTTGATGTACCCAACATGCCTCCCCCGTTCACTAGGAGAAGTACTCACATGGATATATCTCTGATGATACAATTATGCCTACATTTTCAGATAAACCTTACATACAGTATTTGCCATTAGAAGTCAACATTTGACAACAGATACCACACAGTCAGCACAATTATCTCCTGTGTTAAGGGTTGGGGGAAGGGTATTTAATCTACTTCTCAGACACCTCTCAGGCATGTTATGTGGAAACCACTGGCAAATCCTCCATTTTTAGTGGCGACCACTATGCTAGGAAATTACACTTTCCCTTTAGACATGCAAAATTTTGTATACAAACCCATTTTTTTCCAAGGACTGCTGAACTCCGTGCACTTTTATATTATAGAATTAGAGACAATGAGGGTGGGAAGGGATTTCAGGGGGTCACATCGAGTCCAACCCCCTGCTCCAAGCAGGACCAGCCCCAACTACATCATCCCAGCCAAGGTTTTGTCCAGCCGGGCCTTAAACACCTCCAAGGATGGAGACTCCGCCACCTCTCTGTGTAACCTGTTCCAGTGCTTCACCACCCTCCTAGTGAGAAAGTGTTTCCTAATACCCAACCTCAAGTTCCCTTGCTGCAGCTGGAGCCCATTGCTCCTTGTCCTGTCGTCTGCCCCCACTGAGACCAGCCCAGCTCCATCCTCTGTGCAGCCCCCCTGCAGGGAGGTGAAGGCTGCTATTCAATCCCCCTCCGTCTTCTCTTCTGCAGACTCAATCAGCCCATTTCCCTCAGCCTCTCCTCAGCAGTCCTGTCTCCCAGCCCCTATATGCATGGGATAGCAATGAAGCTAGCAGGTATTTTTATTATGAGTTGCCTAAGCGTCCAACTTAATGCAACAGTGGATGAAGACTCAGTTGTGTGCATGCCCACCAAGGTTTTGCAAACCCACCAAGAACTTCAGCCGTCTTCCCGAAACAGAGTCATGCTCTCTCCCCGAGGTCAGGCTTGCACACTCTGTCCTCTTCCCAAAATGCGTTCCTCTTCCTTTTCCTTCTGGACCCCTGAGTCAACAGCCTGGATTATCTGCAGTCCTTTAGGATCTCCTGTCTTCAGTGGTCCTGGGGGCAAGAGACCATCTAAATAACGTCAACAGTTTGCCAGGGGGTAGCTGAACTTCCTGGGAGTCCCCTACCCTGGTCGATGGAGTGACCGCTTGGTCTGAGCCACCTTGGCTTGTGGGGTTTGGATTGCAAGAATATCACCTCATACTCCGCCGAATAAATGCCCCCGTGTGCTCATATAGACATTTCAAACCTAGATGCAAATATCTGGCCAGCCCACGATGAATGCCTGGCTTGATTTGCTTGGGAGTCGAGGGTCAAGGTGGTCACGTGGGTGCTTGCTGCTGTTTTTGTGAGATGTTATTAACCTTACATTTTTCTTTGGGAGCCTATGCTGGGAAGCGCTGCTTTAAACATTGAGTTGCATTGTGTGCAGCACCTAAAAGAGTCTTTGGGCGTCTAAGAGCAGAGCTGGGCAGAAGGCTTTACCTCCAGAGCCACTCTGGAGCCTGGTTTCCCCACACACCAGTATTTACCATTTCATTTGCAGGTAGCCTGGATTATTTTTGGGTTATCCAACGCATCTATTTATATCCCGCTTGTCAGACACTAAAAGGCAAGTTCCTTTTAATGGCCCTTCTCCTTGCATATAAGTAGAAACCCAGCTCCCCATTTCACATGTGCACACTGTCGTCCTTGATACCACAGGGTTAATAAAACTCATCTTTCAAACAGATATATCTATATTTCAAAAGTAATAGCTGCGACAGGCTAATTATTTTATACAGCTCAGTGTGGTATAAATAAGGTAAGCCACAGTAATCTGTGGTTTGCAATAATTATCACTTTTTTTTTAAAATTCACAAACAGTTGCATCCTTGCTTGTTTGATATTTCTGGTAAACCATGCGGCTGGTGTGGTTGACCTTGCTAAATTATACATATACAGTTGGATGTATAGAGAAGAGCCAATAGACAAAATCAGGAGACTATATCTGTTTCTAGTTCTTCCCAGGCTGTACATAGGGAAGGGAAAGCCTTTCCAAAATCATTTAAGGACCAAGCGGAGAGCGCAGGGCTATGTAAGAAGCAGCATTCACGCAGGCCTGAAGGGACTCTTTCAGGACTTCTCACGGGGGCAGGTCTGCAAAGTTTCTTGTGCAAACTCCAACACTGCTGCAAGGTGATTTTTCACCTCTCTGGCTGTCTGTACTGGAATTGGAAGCCAATTGCAGCATCGGTTTCTCTATTATTTTTCCTCTCTGGCAGAATGCAGTGCCCTCGAAAAATGATAGTGCCGGAGACCCTGTCAGTTTGCATGCTCTAACACTTTATTATCTAATGATCTAATATGCAACAAGGCAAAGAGGGGGTGCGCATCACTCTGACAGGATGCCTGCGAGAAGTGACTAAATTACTTTATGTACCATTAGCGCTAGCAGCTACAGTGAACTCACTGTGAGCGTTTATGCAAATACTCCTGAATACATTCAAGTGGCCTTGTCAGGCAGGCGACTGACAAGCAGTTTAAATGCTCTTTTTTTTCCTCTTTTTTTTTTTTTTCCTTTTTTTTTTTTAAAGGGCCAGTTTGATTTCTTCTCCCCCTTCCCCCCTCCTCCTCTCCCCCCTTGTGCGATCACTGCAGATCCAGGCTGGTCGGTGACAGACTCAATTCTGTTTCATCCTCAACAGCGGTAGCAGCAAAAGAAGACACGTGTAGTAGATGAACCTAAGAGAAACCGCGGGACTCGATTTCACAATTGTAGACACAAGCCGAGAGAGCTGGGATTTCCCCGCCGCGGTGCAGTTATGGCGTGATTCTGTTATATGTGGCTGTATGATGGAGCCTGTATCCGAGACCCCCTATTCAGCAATCTGTTGTGCATGGTTGGGCTGTTTGCTGATGGACGTGCTCTTGGTTGCAGTCCACACCGTCTTCTGTGGAGCCCAAACCTTGACATGTCATTTAGCTTTTAACGAATCTGAATCAAATTCTGCTCTGCCTTCCCACATTTTATAACCCCCGCTTTGCATGCCTTTTTTGTGGGTGCCTTGAGTGATCACTTAAAGCAGGCCTCCCTGCACTAATATCAGCATGCCTTCTGCTTACAGCAGCATAAATCCAGCTGAAAACCCAGCAGTTACTTCCACCTCCGGGAGACCCTCATATCTCCCACTAAAGCGTAT